CCAACTGCTGGAAACGTGTGATACGAACGATATGGTAGTCGCGTCGCTTGTCGAAAAAATAGGCTGGATCAGCCCCAAGCGCAATCGCGGACACGCCCCATCATCTGCAGCAAATCAGAGTATGCGTTTACTGTTTAGTCATCAACGGACTTACGAGATGATGTCGACTCATTTAAATTCCAGTTATTTCGTATTTTTATAGGCTGAAAGTTTTGTCCTTTTTTCAAATATCCGAGTTCTCTACAAAGTAAGCTTCGCTGTACCGCACTCAGCACATTGACACCTTGCGCTGCTCGATACTGGCTACGCACTCATTACGACCCCCCCCTCTCCTGGCGGCCAAATACGACCCCCCCATGGGGATTCCCCAACCAATGCTGTGCCCTGCATTCCGAATGGAGTGTGTCGAGGAAAAGAGTGATCCTGACAAGTGCAGAACTCGTCTGAAGCCACGTCACTTTAAGAATAAAGATAAAAAAAGAATAAAAGAGAGCCTATTTCTTATCCAGGGACAGAGTAGGCGTGGCATGACATGGCATAGATGCGGTAACTCGTACGGATAGATTTCAATGTGAGACAAGTTTGTATTGTTAGCTGCGTGTGTCTCAGAATGAGTATATCCCTGCAACCGCACACGTTTGATACACCTACCAATCTTCACGGGTTTTCTGAGTTGCATGTCTCTAGAGCGAATACATTTTACAATCTAATGGAATAGTGGTCTAGTGGTAATAAGAATTAATAAATACAGTGTACGATTATAATTTTAATTTCGGAATTAAAATCGGGCGATCGCACCCTTTCACGAGGACGGTGGGAGGATGGTGAAATGAAGTCGATTGGCGGATTCCAGTCGCAAGGTTATGGACAGCCGAAAGCTGACGATATCGTTAAACCAGCACTGAATATTGAGGTCAGTAGCCATTCTTATTTGGTCCCGTGACACACTTGTACCTCAGATCGGAAGAGCTTGTCTTGTGTTTATGCAATCCAGAGTCCTCCCCTACATAGCCACTCAGACTTTCCGGTCCTACAGGGACCGACTAGGGTCCTCTGAAGTGTAAGGAGGTGAAGAAGAACCTGATCATGTAAAATTCTCAACAAATCAAATGTATAAATCCAGTGCTCGGCAGACCCAGTCGTTTTTGTAGTGCTCGCAGAAGATGCGGCATGGCAGTCTGTTACTCATGGATACTCATTTAGGGTTCAAAAGTCACCAATGGCAGATCATTCGTGCAGTTTACAATTCCTCATAGCATCTTTGACTTGTATACGGTAAGTCATAAAAGGATCGATTATCGATTTTATCCCAGAAATATATTCATATAGGACGATGGTGGTTGCGTTACACTTCAAGTAGCTGTGTTAGCCGGTCAGTGGTCAGGACAATTCGCTGTGAAGAAGCACAATGTAAGTGGTCAACCTACTGTGGGAATATGAGCTACAGCAGCGAAAAAAAACTTGGAACAAGTCAATGTCGCCGCTTTTCAACAGTTTGTCACACTTTTCAACTTGCAAGGGGGAATTTTGTTGCCCACATTAACTACCCCAGGGAGAGGTTTTCCAAAAATTGGAGTTGGTTGATTAGAACCATTGTTGAGGCATACTAGCGAGGAGTACAGCGATGATGACCAACACGTTGATCTCGTATCCATTTTCAAAGTTTGAATGGTCCTCAAAAGACCATAGGATTGTGTAACGTTTTCGAGAGGCACGAGAATGAAGAAGAAAACACCCAGACAAGTCTGACCCCTCGTAGGATAGGTGAAGTGAGCACAATTTATGACAATCCACCATGTCGTCGAGTACTGAAGGAGGTCCATGTGACTGTGAGGGCAGGTACAACAGTGAGAAACACCACTGCCTCAAGAAAGCCTGAAGTCTCAAGTTTCCTGCGCTGCAGTGGAAATCATAGCCTAGCGGCGACAAAATCGGGCACCCCTAAGCAGGCCCGCCGCGTCGGTGCCTTTTCCGATGAAGGTACCCTTATAAGAGCTATCAAGCATATCGACGCCGCAGTCGCGCGCCCACCAACGTCCGACCGATGCTGACGCTCCTATCCGCTCCATTTGCGAAGTACTCTATGAAGGGAGGGGATTGAACGAAGCGGCTGCGGTGCTGCATGGATATATGAGTACGTACATGCAGCGGCATCTACCGCAGTGTTATTGGCAACGGGAAACTCGTCCGAAACTGCTTTCACTCGTGTAGAATGAAGGCTTTTCGCAGGTTTTTGACCGCTTCCGTTCGCTTTTTCGCACATTCCCACCGCTTCCATTCGCTTTCTCGCCACTTTCCCACTATATAGCATCCTGGGATCGTTTCGAGACTGAGAACCAAATTACCATGCCTTATGTCTTGAACGCCGCAGTTCGCGCTCCAAAAGTTATCGCAAGAATGCTGAGTTATAGGTAGAACTCCCCCGGTCACCGGTAGATGCGGGTTCGACTGGGGTTTGACTTTTGCCCATAATGGAATTTCTTGAGCGGTAAGAGAAGAGCATTACCTAAGCCGTGAAAAACACTTCAGCCGCCTGATGTCTCAGTGAAGATCTATAATAGTTGTACGCACGTTCCACAGTGCTCACATGGGCGGTCACTTGGACCAAAGTGCCTTCCTTTTCGGTAGTCCCTTCTTTCCCGCCTGATAACGCATGAACCTACAAAGAGAAGGACACATGCTCCAAATGATTTCTCCCTTCGGTGTGGAATGTACTATTGACCCGGTCCTCCTCACATCTGACCATTCCTGAAGCATTTTCAGTCTTTTCCTTCAGACCTCATTTATTTCGCCTTTTTTTTCTAAAAATTGATTGTTGCAGCTTTTCAGAATTGAGAATAAACTCATTCAGAAAACAAATTTCGTTCATTCAGAAAACTCCGGAGGCAGTTCTAGTCTGTGGAATTGAGCACTGTCCAAATCATGAACCTGTCAGAGACGAAGTGGCTGAGAAGAAGACCGAAGAAACCGAACAAGAAAGTTAGTTTTCAGTAGCTTATTTTTCGGCGAATTAACGTTGCTAAAGAATAATCCCGGATTCGCCGAGATGAGAAGGGGTTGGGTGTTGTAACTCTCTTGGCAATCAATTCGGGAACAACCGATCAGACCACCAAGCACAATTTGGCCAGGGTCAACGCATATCCTCCACCCCAACGTCTAAGTGCATAATATATGAAGAGGCTGAATTTGCAATTTCAGAATCATCTGGAGCTGACGTACTACCCGAAGAAGAAGGACTTGAGAAAAAGGAAACTTTGCACGAGATTGATGAGTCAAATGGTGAGTTGTACTTGCTACACCCAAGCTATGTGTGAGTTTAGTGAGGTGTTTACCAATTTGAAGGTGATTAATTGTTCAGTCGTTGACCCGATCACCTTACGGCAAACTGTGCAGACTCTCGAAATGGACTCAAGCGGAGCGGAACCTGCACTTAATGAGTCTTCAATCTTTTGCTTCTGCCTGCTGCATCATTGCCATTTCCGTTTCCAGAAGTTTGTTCTTTGTTAATGTTTTATCAAACTGGACGAGAAGTTCCTTGCGACACTTAGGACCATTTCGTATTCAGGAAAACCAAGGTTATTTCCCAAGGTTTCCCTCAGACGGATGCTTTGTAGTTTTGCTGATACCTTTCAGCGATTCAGAATCCTTCTGGGGCATCGCTACTTTCCTAGTACTTCTTCACCCTTATCCCTGATCCAGAGTGAGGCGTGGCATATTGAACGTGGCACGCGAATTAGGATATTCGTGCTATATGTCAGTAGACAACTGCATCTTGTCTGTATTGGACAGAGACCACCGGACAACAATAGTTTCAAGATAAAATATCTCAGCCAAAAAGCATAGACACTTCAAGTAAGCTGAAGTCATGCGGCCTACCCGATCTCAGGGATTTCGAGTATATATTGTGAGTTTCTGCAGGGGGACACTGTTGTAGTCCAGAGATCCGATGCCCACCCTGTCTTCGAAAAGGAGATACCTGCCATGTCACGGGTCTCGTTCAGCGCATCAGCGCGTAAAGAGCTGGGGGATATTTTGCAGATTGAAAATAGTAGTCACCATTTGGGAAGGAAATGATAATCCATAGTCCACTACCTTGGGAGCACAGCCACATGTAATCACCAGTGAAAGGACAACATTGCTGTTCTGCACTCACTTGACAACTAGCAAGCTTTTACGCTAACTCGTTGATCGGGAAAACTTTTCGTGGTGGGAACCACATAAAACGTGCCGGTGTGACGAAAAGAGTCGAGTGGTGGTGTGTGAATTTCTTGCGCTTCCTCCTGACAGGAATAACGGTGGGTAATGAGAGCTAGTCCATTGAGAGAACCATCCACATAATTTTCATAGGACGTCTCAAGAAGAAAAGTTGCCTGCCAGCTTCATTGGCCTGGCTCCTAAGCACAACGATACTGGCACAAAAGCGACGTCCATAGCCTGTTCTATCAAGCTTCAGCAGCTGCCTTGCTTCAGTATGAGCAAGGCCGACGCCACGCTCAAAATAGTTCAGAGTGGTCTGATTCCTTCCTATTCCATGACAGCACCAAGATCGCGTGTGACGAATATGCTATCTAAATATCTTCTGGATCTCGGCGATGATCTGTGCATAAGCGCTTCCTGAGTACTCATGAGATATGGTAGCTTTTGACTACCTTCTATTTAGCACCCTAGTTTATCACTTGTTGAATTTAAAGGCAGTTGGCACGATTAATCCCTAAGACGACTAGAATTAATACGCCTGGCAGGACGGAATTCCGCACTCCCTGAGAAGGCGCTGCGCAGCGCCTTTCCCAAGGAAGGTACCCTCATAAGGGCCCTATCAAGCTACAACATACCGACCCGAACGCCCACCACGCCCGCCCGCCCACAAATGGACGACCGCTTCCTGAC